AACTTATTAGGTTAGGATAGAGATAATGCAATATTTTTATATATCTTTATACATTTTTATATTTTTATATACTTGTAAACATCTATAATTTTAAGTTTCGCATTTTATGTAATAAGAAAAATGCTCCGAAGGGAGTAATGTAGCGGTACGACCGAAGGTCGCGCCATCTAAGTTACTAGAAGGCTAGGGAACCACGCTAACAAGTAGTGGTCACCAGACTAGTACAGTCTGTGCGTAGCCGTTGAGAAGTGTACAACTGAGAAAAGCAAGTCGCATCCGTTAAATAAAAATCATAAAATAAAAATTCAGTCTAATATTATCTTTACTCTAGAGAAACCCTCTACATGCAAGACGTCAGAACTACGGATAGTCAACCATGGGGTGCCAGCACCGAGCAAGTGCGGGAGGCCACATTTTATTAAATTTTTAAATTTTAAATATTTGCCACCTAAACGCCATCTTTCATTCAGTTTCGTTCGCTCTATTTGGCGGCATTTTAAGAAAGGACTATTTGTGTATAGTTTACAGCTGTATGTTTATTTATTGCCCTGATATTTTGACAGAAATAATTTGTTTTTTTTTGAAAAAGGTAAGTCATAAAATTTCATGTCAGTACCATGGTATTGAAATTTACACATATTAATACAATATTTAGATTAACTATTCAGAATATATATTTAATTTTACGTGTACAATTAAAATTGTTTGGAAAATCATTTTAATTGTGTGCAAAAAATAAGGTTAGGTTAATTATAAATTGAAATGTCAGTACTGTGGATGTCAGTACCATGATAAAAATAACAAATAATTTTCAAATTCATATTTTCTTAATGTTTTAATTTATTACTATCTTCAGTTGTTCTAGTTTTATGAAAAATGGCTCCAATACTCCGGACAAGACTTAAAAATATACCTGGGCTCCAAAACTTGGGTAATAATAAACCGTTACCGTAATAAGTAAAAAACGTGTATTAATACAGAAGAAGAAAATTACTAAAGTTCAGCAAGATGAAAAATTAAAAAAAAAGAGAAACAGAAATGTTACGGCGGCAAAAAATTAAAGAAGACCCAGAAGCTTATAAAAATTATTGTCAAAAAGAACGAGAGAGATACGTACAGTGGAAATTTGATAATAAATTAAAATCAATTGACCAGTTGACAGAACGTGAAAAACGATGTCGGCGAATATTACAAAATATGTGGCAAAAATTATCACGGCTCAAGAAAACAGAACTCCAAACTTCAGCTCTGGACGAAAACAACAACGAGATGAATGACAACAACAATAACATTAATAAAAATATCTCTAAACAGGCTTCGGTGGGTAAGAAACGAATTAAAAAAAACAATACACTATACCAATACACTTGGAGTAGGTAAAACCCTGGCCTAATACTATTCAACTCTTTAAGTTGTCTCGATTGTCAACCTGGCATAATATGTGAACATTTCTCGATGGGACGAATAAAATACAATGATAATCGCTTGTCATTACCTTCTCCAAAGACACAGAAAGTGTTGAAAAAATCTCAGAAAGACCCCGTAGTCAGGGGTGAATTCAAAAAACCAAAAGTTACTCCAAATGTAACTCTTCGACGAAGTTTAAGAAATAAGGAATGATTCACTATTGTAAGTATTTTAATAAAAAATTATACTATAGATTAATATTTAATTATATAAAAATTGTATCATTGTTTTTTACATTTATAATTGTTGAAAATTTCATTTATTAACTCATTTTAAATTTAGTTATATTCAAATATTACTATAAAAATTATTATTCTAATTCTATCATTAATAAATGTTAAAAATTGTTAAAATCAAGAAAGAAAATACCAAAAAAGTCTTTGTATCATTATCAGAGTATTATAATTTATCATTCGTTTTATTATTTTAAGATTTTAAAAAGACTTAGGTAAGTACTTTGAATATTTCATTTATTTGTTAGTACCGTGAAAATTGTGTCAGTACCGTGGCGTTGAAATTTTCAATTTTTGCTCTAGTTTTTTGTCTATTAAAGTTATAATAGAACTACATTACAGGCTTAATTCTGAGCATAATTGGGGAACAATAGTTCCCAAAACATAAGTTATTAAGCATTTTTAATTTTTAAAAATTTTGAGTTGTAAAAATCACAGTTATTTGAGAATCACCCATATAAGAAAAAACACTTCTAACGCTATTAAATATTGAAATATTTTGTATAACAAAATATTTTACCAAAAAAAGTAATATTAAATAAGCGTGTACTTTGCTAATAAACAGTTTAGAAACTATTTAAAGAATGTATAATTATATACTTTTACCTATGAATCCTCTTTTCCCAAAACTGTAGAGATAGAAACACTTCGGATCATAATTTCTCGGAAGAAAACGATCAGAATTAAATGTTAAAGGATCAATCAAGTGTTTATCCTTTCGATGAAGAGAATATATTTAAAAAAATACTTCAGTAGTTTTTGGTATTATAATGTTGTCGTTCACTTGATATAATAATTAAATACATATTATTATTACATAGAACAATAATTTAAATAGTGAAAAAAAACTAAGAATATTATCATTTTTTATATAGGAATACCTTTTGTATCTTTTAGTATTCTTCTTCCAATTAGGAGCAAGAGATAATAAACGTAAAGTTTTCTTTATAACTCGTTCAAAATATTTCATTTGCTTAGTATCTTCCAATGTAATAGGAATTTTTTTCTCATTCTCTTTTTTCCGTTATTGTAAAGTAGGTTTATATTAATACATTGTTGAGTGGTCACGAGTTATCTCGAGATACACTTTTTTTCGCATCACGCTATTTAAAAGGAAAACGCAGCGAAAATAAATATTACAATAGTAAAAGCTGTTTTGTACTATTATTATACTGTTTATTATATGAAAAAGAAATATCCAAAGTTTAATAATAAGTAAAATGTATTTAAAATTACTTATATTGTTATACTTTTCAATTCAATTACGAAATAATAACCGGTGACATAAAATAAATTCTTAAAAGAATTGCCGGTCAACAATGTGTTAACATAAACTTACTTTACAATCATAAAAAAAAGAAAATGAGAAAGAAAAGAGAAGAAGGAAAAAAGAAAAACAGAAAAAAATATCTTCGAAGAGGTAAAAAAACTTAATTCTATGTTAATATTCGTAAATATCAAGATCTCGGCGCCTTCTAAGCACACATATCGCAGCTATTGTAGGAAACTATATACTATAGCTAAAGGAATATACATCAATGTGAAATTTCAATCCGCGATTATTTGCAAATGGTTAGCTATTTGCGGCAAGTTTAAAGGCCCAACGAATCTTCTCATAGGCTATTACAAATGTGCCAAATTTCAAGAAATCGGGGGGCGGGGGGGCACGTTCGCGGCCTCTCCTTGTCAGGTGTAATTTGTATTGTCAGTTACTTTTGGTTTCACACATGTCTTTTTAGTTCACAATTGTTTATCTTCTCTTTTTTTTTTTATTTTTCATAATATTCATATTATATTTTTTTTCTACAATTAATATCTTATTATAGTCAATAACGTATAGTCGTTCATATAAACCAGTGGTTCCCAAGTGTTTTTATCCTATAGCCTCCTTTCCAGAAAAAATATGACTTATTCGCCCCCTGAAAATTAATTTTTTGGTTTTCCTTGTTTTTATTTTTTTTAGTAACTCAAAAAAGAAAATTCATCTCCCTCCTTCCTCCTAAATTCGTCTGTTGCCATCATCGCCCCCTGAATCGCCTTATCGCTCACTTTGGAAACCACTGATATAAACAATTCATTTTTAATATCAAAATGCAATCAATTTATAGAAAATAAAATGAAATTAATAACAATAAATTCGTGATAGTATTTGAAAAGTAACACTAATGAATAAAGAAATATTATAAGGAAGAATGTTTGTCTTCTATCTGTTATGCATGTTCCAATTAGTCGCAGAGAAATCTCTTAAATAATAATATAAGTTTTTTATATCTGTCAGTCTTTGTTAATCAGAAGCAGACGTATTTTTAAATCTAGAACTAGAACTTTTCATTACTCGCACTGATTGTGAGATAAATTAAATTTATATTTATGTAAAATTAAATCTTATGATACCAAGTAACTTAATTTCTATGAATTTTCATTTTTATATTATTTACTTCATTAATAGATTTTTAAGAATTTTTTAGAAAGGAAAAAATTAGATTGTTTGAATTTTACTTCCTATTTTTTTAGTGTCTTCTTCGAACATGATTTTTTCCATGATTCATTTCCATAAGAAATCTTACGTGTAAACATACTCGAGAAACTACTTTAAATATATTTAAAGTAACTTCCTTAATTGATAATAATGTTGGTGTTAACATTTTTCAAGCTGATAGTAATGAGTAAATAGTTATTATATGTCTAGCAATCATCTAAATATCGAATATCAATATATTTCTAGATTTTTAAAATTCTTATGAAAATGTTATTATTTTGGAAGGGGTTTCAGTCCTTCAATTTCAATTTTATTGCTATATCAATAAATAATAATACTACTTACAATTTATATTTATTCATAATGTAAATACAATTGTTAATGAATCTATTGAATTTTCCGGTAGCAACGATGAAGATTATTTAATAACGATACATCATAATACGTACTTGAAGAATATTCTGTGAGGGATGAATTCTATATAGATAAATCATTTCATTTATTTGTATTATATAGGAGAGAAGGAGAGAGAGAGAGAGAGAGAGAGAGAGAGAGAGAGAGAGAGAATTTATACGCATTCGCAATGTTTTTTTTGTTATCAGCAGATAAATTAATTTTCTTAGATAATATTTATTATATATTACTACACTAGGAAGGATCGCGTCAAATTGTTGCTGTTGTTATCATTTCTTTCTTCTTTTGGTTTATCTTATGGAAAAGATATCTAACAATAAGACAAAGTTATATATTGTATATTGCTCTCAATATCCTTGATGAAATGATAAATTTTTCTTGTATATATATATTTATATTCTATACATATTATATTTCATTCTGAATTTTATCTCAATTCGGTTGTTTAGTTAAGTCAATTAGATATTTATATTATAGACCCAGTGAACACAATTACGTCAAAATGATTTTGCGCGATGTCATGATTTACGTAAGATATAAGTCAGATATTTCACACTTATTGACGTAAGACTTTTACGTAATAAATATGACGTTAAGCTGACCTGACGAAACAAAAGAACAAAAAAGCAATGATGTCATACATATGTCTACTTTTTGCCGTATTTCTTACTAGTTTATGACGTATAATTTTTTTTTTCACCCCCCGGATTTGAACTCGGGAACATGCGATGATTACTGGATGGACATTACTACTTGATGGTGATTTGCCTCACTGAGCCATGCGAACTTGTGCTAACTTCCATTATATTGCTAATCCATATATAATTAACAATATTATTAATTATAATTAATAAATATTATTAATTATAATTTAAAAATATTAATAATTATAATTAATAAATAATATTAAATAATAAAATATAACATAAATTAATAATATAAATTATAATTAACACGTTCCGTGCCACGTGTACCACCGGTGGTACAATAACCATTAGACATATTTATTTAATGCACTGAAAATATATACTTATAAGGTGACTTACCGTCACCGTTTTTTAAAATATATATATATATATATATATATATTAGGGTGGGTCAAAAAAATCAATTATTTTTTTTTTTACAAGTGCCACGGAAAAATGGGTTGCTAGAGACCTTAAAAAAATTCTCATTAAATATGAGCTCTTAATTTTAATAGGAAAATCCTCGGCATCGCAGTTTTTTATTTTTTTTTCAGTTCAATAGATTAAAATTCATACCTCATTATTTATTGATTGTACAGAAAAATGTTTTAGACGAATTTTGTAGGAAATTTAATGTTCTACAAAAAAGGTTTCTTATATTTTTTCCGTAAACCTCACCATTTGAATGATATTGAAGATTTAAATTTGATGATTTTTAGACAAATTTCATTTTTGTTTATGAATATTATAACTCGACAATAAATGACTATTATAAGATGCGCAATACAAATTTTTGTCGGAAATTAACTGCTCTATAAAAATGGTGTCTTATGTTTTGGCGATTAAATTAAGCGCTCAAAAGATATTCAGAGACAAAAATCAGTACACATGAAAATCTGATGATATATATATGGGGCATTCCACGTTAAATCGGTCACTTTTGACCCCGACCCCTTTCGATTTGGCTGAAAGTTTTTTATCTTATGCTACCCTATGAAAAACAATTTTCAGAATTATTTCAAATTTTTTTACCAAACACAAAAAAACTTTTAAATTTTTGAAAAAATGGCTCTTTTCTTTGAAATGGCTATAACTTCTTTAAAATTCAACCTATTGGAACGTTTTTTTAAAAATATTTGTTTTTAAATGTACTTTTCAGAAAAAAAATACAAAAAAATTTCAAAATTATAAAATCCATAAAATTTTCGTATTTTTTGAGAAAAACCGTTATTTTCTCGAAGTTCGCCATTTTTCATTTATTTTTATTTTCTAGAAAAAAACTTTGTCTAAATCTGCGATTATCCCCGCCAGTCCCAGAGTAAGCTGAGTTAGTTTCCTATTTTTTTTCTTTAATTGAAAAAAAATTTTTAATTTATTTTTTTTTAAATTAAATTAATACAATTAAACAATTTTACAATATTATATACTTAATTTATAGTCTCAAAATACAAAGTTTAAAAAAAAAATTCAACCTTTCGTTTTTTGCTGTAAGAATATGATGGAATTATTACGTCATTTTTATGTCAGTATATATGACTTAATATTGAGGTCATAAATAAAGTCACTTTTTACTTCAAAAATTTGAAGATGACTTTATAACATACGTATGACATCATTTTAAAGTCTTGTGTTCACTGGGTTCCGTCATGTGTACAAAAAAATTTGAAGATGACTTTATGACGTACGTATGACATCATATAAAGGTCTTGTGTTCACTGGGAGTGTTCTATAATATGATATTTTTTATGTGAACAATATGATCATTAAACTCTTTAAAAGAGAAACGAATGTATCAATATTTTTCTGACAAAACTTATGGTTTATTTTGTTTTCTCACCTTCTTATTCTTTTTTATGATAAACTTTTGTAATTGTAGAGAGATTTACAGTTGACTTCCTAATCAGTCTTCTTCACTCTTATAAAATTATCACAGAATTTTGGAGTGCTCATATTTTGGGGTAAATAGATCGAAGCAAATTTAGTAATGCGTGAACACAAATTGACGCAATCCCATTGCGATGACAAAATTTTGTATGATCGATTAGTAATCAACGAGATTGTATTTCCTATTTAAATCGTCAAAGTTTAACAAATTCATTTTTTTTAGGATTATTCAACGATAGCTACTACTTAACAGTTTATGATGAATTTTGTCATAAAGGACTAAAGCCATTAATAGTATTTTAGTTTTGCAGAGATTTATTATTCTCGATAACTTCTAATCATCTTTTTTCTTTTTATTATGAATTATGGAGTTTACAAACTATTTTAATTTTATTGAATGAATATACCATTACTTTTAAAGTATTTTCATTTTTCTATTTATTATCTATTCAATAATATTGTCGATAGAATGGATCATTCAAAATATCAATAATAAAATTCTACATTATATTTGTTAAGAATAAATAAATAAATAATCAAATTCTAATTTTAATTTCTCCAATAAAATAAATCAAATGTTTTATAAATTTATATTTGTTAAAAAGATTAAAAAAACAAATCTTAATTATGATATATTGAATAATCCTTCTATCAAATTAGTATTTTAATCTGTATATTCCAATTACATCTCAATTTATAAATGTTACGTTTTATTTATATATTATTACGTTTCTATCACATACAACTGTGTAATATGTATGCGTGTATCTATATTATATGTATGTACGTATGCATAAATGAATGTATGTATGTACACAGTAATTAGCATTTCTGACAAATAGGTTGAACTTGATTGAAGCATGTGATGTTGTTCGATAAGAGTTTAAAGCAAAAATATATAAGACATTGAACTATTTGTAAACATTTATGTTTTCTGTCAAAAGCTCATTGAGTTTTACTTTCGTTTAAATGTTTGTTTTCTTCTTTTTCTTGACATCTTCAATCTTGATTTTAATTTTTAATTTTTAATTTTTGAGGATCGAGAACACAGATTTTCTAAGTTATACAACTCTTTAAAGATTTATATATATTATTTTTTAAATATTTTTTCTTATTTTTTTCTTTTCCAAACATGTTAGTCTGTTTCTCGTCCATTTTCACGATTAATTATCGGCAGTATATAAGGCATACGAATAATTATTTTTCCCTGCAATTGCTCTTTATTTACATTTTTCATTTATATAACAGAATCCATTACACATACACATGTGCGCGTGCGGCCACACACACACATTTGTTAGCATTTATTATATGTAAATGTCGAGCACTTTTTTGTCATCTTTTAAGATACCTAAATTCGTTAATATGAATTAAGAATATAGAACGATTATTTTTTTGAATTATTATATTGTAAAAGATTGAATTTTTTCATTTTTATCATTTCAAGCTATATATTTAAATAACTTTTATTTTTATATTATTTTATATTTTATAGTAATTTATTTTATATTAAAATTTAATAATTTTCGATTATTATGGGTAATTTTAAAATTACAAATGTGGACGACAATTATTATGCAATGTGAAAAATAATATTAAAAGTAGTAGTATTATCGTTTACAACGTAATTTTAAACCATCATAACTTGTTTATAGTAATTACATAACCAATGAAAGATGTCTATTCTTTTTTGTGTTTAAAAATCTTTGTTTTACATTTTTTTATAAGTTTTGTTATTTTTATTTATTTCTTACTATTATTATTACTATTATTACTGGGTTTATATATTAATTTTCGACTACATATTGCAAAACCATTTAATTGAATATTATTTATACTTAATTAATGAATTACTTTGATAAATGTATGTATTTATATATATTCTGAGACGAGAAACGGACTAGCTTAAAATTCTTGAAGTTTTTTTTATTGATTCGATAAAAAGAATGATCAAAAAGAGTTTCTTATAGATGGCAACACAAGATCGAAATGATTATAAAGAAATATTCGATGAAATTATTTGAAAGAACGTAAACATGTTTATTTTTCATAAAGCATTAAAATAAATAAAATATATGAAATAATTCATTATTGGACAAATGAAACGCAATTGAAATTACAATGTATATATATATATATATATATATATTATATATATATATATATTTTTTTTTTTTTTTGAATATTGAAATAAAAATAGATGAAAGGCACTCAATAGCTAGCTAGTAATCTCCTAAGTGTTGCTATATTCGTACATTCACATAGTGGAAAACATTTTGTAAAATATTTGTAAAATGCGGTAGTTAAAAAGATATTGCTTTTTTGTTTCTTTTTTGTGTGTGTGTTGACAATGCATCGCATTTAGAAATACATTCTTTTTTCTTCTCTTTAGGTATTTTCACTCCAAGTTCTTTATTTATTTATTTTATTTTATTTTTTCTTCTTTTCTTCTCTCACATTCAATAAATAGAGTTGATTATTATTAGAAATTTCTACAAGTTTATAATCATTACGGGACAGAAGTGTATTGTAATATGTAAAAACGTGTATTACAATTTTGAGATGTCCTTTCTATATCTATAAATCTTCGACCCTGATTCTTAAATGAATGTAGATTATTTTACATTAATTAATGAAAATCATATATATATATATATATATATATATATATATATTATATTATATTATATTATATTATATTATATTATATTATATTATATTACTTTCGTAATCTGATCTTAATCAGTGTATCACACCCAAAAAATGCGTTATCGTTAGAAAATCATTAAACACATCACATGCACCTAAAATACTATAAGGGATTATTTATCCTTTTCATCGCTTAGAAAGCTTTGTTTGTTACAAAGATTACTTAAATGTTTAACTATTTTACGTTATTATTATTATTATTATTATTGTTTTTGTTTTCCTTTTTATTTTTATTATCATCATTATTATTTTTATTATATTATTATTACAATTATTATTTATTTATATATACTATTAAAATAATAATAATAATTATTATAATTATTATTATTTACAATTGTGTGAGTAATAATAGCTATAATACTTGTGTTCGTTATCAATAATTACTTTTACAATTTCAAATATGTTTATTTCATTTCATTATTAAATAAGTTTTTCTTTTTTTTCCTTTTTTCATTTTTTAAATTTGATGATAATGACGTATTTACTTATGCTGCACTTGGTGTAAGAATGTAATAATAATCTACAATATAAATGAATCGTTCAAAACACACACACACACACACACACCTCATATTATAAGTATCGTATATGAAAGAAAAAAAGACCCCAAGTTAGATATTAGGACAAATAAATACTATACACATTTCGATAAAGGGATCTATTTTCTTTTTTATTTAAATTTCTTTTGAGAACGTTCAAGCGATCACGATGATTGGATCCCGCCCAATCCAATAAATTTAATATATCGACTTGTTGTTTTTCATCTTTTTTTTCTTAAATATTAGGATATTCATCATTTCGTTTGTCAATTTTTTAGTGCGCTTCGCAATATACACTGTCGTCGTTAAAAAAAAAAATACAAATCTTTTTAAATTATATATTATATTTTCCTTAAGGATAATTTGAAATAAAGGTCGAGCCGAGATTTTTATAAATGATTTAAAAAATTAATTACTCTTTTTTGGGAGATTTTAGAATTAATTTTTAGAATTATATTTAGGCTATGACGTTTTACAATTCATTAACAAAAATTAGCCTAAATGGTCTCAAGGAAGAATAATTAATTTTTAAAATCAACGAGAAATTTTCGACTCATAACTTCTGATCACATAAATACAGATTTTACTTTAAGGTAGTACTTTAAATGTCGGAATTTAAGTAATATTATATAATACGTATGTATATAACAATGTAATAATACAAAATAATGCTCGCACGTTTATACAATTGTAAAATACAATGCATATTCCGATTATAATATTATATTACAAGGAAAAAAAACGCGTAATTGATATGATAAAAAATAAACAATTGATATAAATAAAATAATGAGAAAGAAATATAAAGATAATATCTTTATACTATAATTTGTATTTTTTAATTTGAAAAATATATTTGAGAAAATTAAATTTTCGTTTAAATGGTCGTATTCAGCAAGTATTATGACAGTTCAGTATTTGCACAAAGCGTATTAAAATAAAACTGAACATACTTCGTTTGCGTATCTTAAATACTATTCGAAGGATACATTATACTTCTGTAGTGCGACTATAAGGAGTGGAGTCTTCCGATTGTGATAACTTTCGTTCGCGTTTAGCAAAGAGGCCGCCTAAAAAAGATGGCTGCTGAGCGAGGCTTTTGCTAACGCCAGGAATCGTACTACCCGGGTGTACAGGATGAACTTGTTGTCCGGGATGTTTGATTCCCTGACCTATAGAACTGGCAGAAGTGGATTGAAAAGAAATTGACATACCGCTATCTAACGAGCCTACGCTCCCACGGCGTTGCGGTTTCTCACCAGCAACTGAAAATAATATATAAATAATGCATTTATACATTGTCGATTAAAAGAACAAAATCTTTATATTCTTTTCATGTATACAATATTATGTTCCTTTTTATATGCTTACATTGTTCATGTATATCAAGTAACGAGTTACTCAATGCAGATCGTTTCAATTGTGAATCCATATCAACGGTCTCTGATCTTTCAGAACATGGTCCTGGACAAGGACATACTTCAACATCAGCTACACCAGAATCTCTGTTCTCTGCGCCACCTCTCGCACCTCTACTACTCTTTTGTCGTTCTAATTCCGTTTCGATTCTCAATGTTTCCATTTCATCCATTTCGCTGATAGACTCGCGAAGATCTTCCACAAATTTACATCTATCGTGTTCGTTCCTTGCATTGAATGTGACTAAGATTTTACTATCTACTCGTTGAGATAATCTTATAACGTATGGATAGTCTACAAGAATAATAATATCGTGAGATTAAACTAAGTTACTGGTAAATTATTCAATATTTGGTTAAAAAGATTTTGATAAATTACTTACGAGGAACCTCGAATAACGTTACGATTATACCGCAAAGTGGAAAACTTTGTCTAAAGGTGTAGGTGACACTGTTCTTTTTCTTGCTCAAAATTTTTGTAACGACGAGCAAGTCGTTAAAAAGGAAAACCTCTCTCTGATGAACACCGGGTCTTTCTTTTTTGTAAATATCCGGTATTTCATATAGTCTGCAGTAACAGACCAATCTTCTATGCGGTAGAGCCATATTTGGTTTCTTTCCAACTATCGTAGCTTGGACTTTCATAACTTGAGATACATGATCCGATCCTGGTTTAAATTCGTTGTCTTTGACTCTCTCGTAAATGCCAACGAGTATGTCTTTATCAATGTCACCGCAATCATCAATACCCCTGAGATTCTTAACGAAATCATCAAGTCTCATTCTACGTTCCGGTTTAAGATTTGGCGTATGTAAATCTGTATTCAGCATGATTATAGCAAAGGCTAAAACAAATACTGTATCCGCCGATCGTAATCTCGATACAACGTCGGGATTGCATTGACAGTAACGTTGACTGAAGACTTCCATTAATCGTTCGATCTTCTGTGCTTCTCCTGGCATTCTAAAGTACGCTTGGAATTTTCGCAATGCAACGTCTACTTGCATACCCGATAAATCTAATTCCTGAGAAAAGTATCTAAAAGTGATAAGAGAAGAATCGTTGTAAACAAATAAATTATGTGCTTCTATTTATATAAATATTTTTTTTTAAACAAAAAATAATACTTACTCTAATACCGCCATGTTAAAGGTATTTTGTAAATTCCCAAGATATTCCCCGATCATCTGTTTAGATAATCCCTTTCTACTAATGAGAAACCTCGCTACTCCTTGTGGACTGTTCTCAAGGAATCCTCGTCTTATCAAATAACTTATTCCTCTTTCGGGCTTTTTATTGAAAAGATTTAATCCGACCCTATATTGACGTTTCCTCACAGTCTCGGATACTTTGTAACTTGTTTGTGGTAACGAATCGGCATGGTCCATTAAAGGTAATTGATAACTTGAACTAGCATGCGAATGACTTAGATCCTTAACGCTATTTATTATCGTCCCAGTTTCCGTAGTATGACTTGCACAATCTTGATGTTCAGGTGAACTCGACTAATCGTACAAGTTAAAGGATAAAATTCGTTAGATGGATTTAATAAACTCGAAAATATAGATGAGAAAGGAATAGTTCTCTCTGTGTGTATCTGTATATGTATGTATGTGAAAATATATCTGTGTGCAAATGAACAAAGCGAAAATGTTCTTACGATTCCTTTGTGTTTCCATACCGGTGACCCTCTCTGAGCGTCACCCTCGGAACTCTCACAGTTGGTGGAGTCGCTACCGGAACTTTGGACTGAGCTCAGGCTACCGTTTTCTACGCTTTTGCTCAGACCATTGTGACGCGGTTCCATTGATCTCGATGTGATGGAAGACGTTCTTTTTGGAACTTCCGGTGGAACTTTCTTACCAGAACCCCTGGATCTACCGGCAGAGCTAAGTTGGCTCGTGTTGTTCCAGTTCTGCGTTATCGGGGTCTGAAGATTGTGTGGCCCAGACGGAGAAGTGCATGGTGTTCGAAGTAAATCTCTAGGGGGTGTATCTTGTCTAAGACCACACAAGGTATCCTAAAAACGAGTAAATAACAACGCTATAGACTCGAACTACTGATATCAAACCGAATCGATTCGAAATATGGGATTTGTGTATAAGTTGTTTGGAATGTATAATAGGCGTAAATATAATATCTTAGCACGGAGGATCGATTTACGAATGTAGGAAAGGATTTCATAACTTGTTTTTACGTCCCTACTGTATTATACCGATACTTTTAACGGAATTTCGAAGCAACGGAGACGGTATCGTAATATCAATTCGTAAGTAAACCGATAGCCCGGCAAGGTCCGCCGAGGGTGACGTTTCTACTACCTACCGTTATATTAGCAGAACTATTTCTATTACTATTGCTATTATTACTACTTACTACTACTACTACTACTACTACTACTACTACTACTACTACTACTACTACTATTACTACTACTACTATTACTACTACTACTATTACTACTACTACTACTGGTACTAATATCAATTTTCAGTCACCTGTGGATTGTAGTAATGGATACTGGAGCCACTCTCCTGAGAGCTCGATTCCCAGCAAGGGCTAGGTGGTAAAGCCTGATGTCTGTTGCACGGACTAGGTGCTAACGATGGTGTATGTCTACCACTTTGATGCAAACTATGATTTCCGTGTTGATGTCCACCACCTATTTGAATCTCACATCTTCCACTTTGACTTCTGGGTATCGGTGATTGTGAATTATCCACGTGTCTCCTCTCCCTAAGCGACATACTCCTGATAGGCATCGGCCTATTTGCTGTTTGCGTTTGCTGTATATATATCTGACTATGATAGGCCATCCTTTCGTGATCATTCGCATTAATTGGACGATCAACTGGGTCTTGTAATTTTCTACTCAATCTTTTTTCAGCTTTTGCCATTGCCGTTATTGCGGCAAACTTTTTTAACAACGTGTATCTTCTAAACGCACGTTGAATCGTCAATGCTGCATTCCTTGCCTTAACACCTCCATATTTTCGTTCCAACATCTCGATTTGCTTGTCAAGAAGATCTTGAGAGAGTTCATACCTGTCGAACAATATATAAAGTCGAGTACTTAGAAGAAGAAGAAGAAGAGGAAGAAGAGGAAGAAGAGGAAGAAGAAGAGGAAGAAGAGGAAGAAGAAGAGGAGGAAGAGGAAGAAGAAGAGGAAAAAGAGGAAGAAGAAGAGGAAGAAGAGGAAGAAGAGGAAGAAGAAGAGGAGGAAGAGGAAGAAGAAGAGGAAAAAGAGGAAGAAGAAGAAGAAGAAGAGGAAGAAGAGTAAGAAGAAGAAGAAGAAGAGGAAGAAGAGGAAGAAGAAGAAGAGTAAGATGAGGAAGAAGAAGAAGAAGAAGAAGAGGAAGAAGAGGAAGAAGAGGAAGAAGAAGAAGAAGAAGAAGAGGAAGAAGAAGAAGAAGAAGAAGAAGAAGAAGAGGAAGAAGAGGAAGAGGAAGAAGAAGAAGAGGAAGAAGAGGAAGAAGAGGAAGAAGAAGAAGAAGANAGAAGAAGAAGAAGAAGAGGAAGAAGAAGAAGAAGAAGAAGAAGAAGAAGAAGAAGAAGAAGAAGAAGAAGAAGAAGAAGAAGAAGAAGAGGAAGAAGAGGAGAATCTTGTTCACTTTTCTTTCTTTTCGACCTTAAGTACTCCGACATCTTCTCTGCTAATTGGGTCGACCTTTTAACAAGCGTTTCACGGACTTCTCTCTCTCTTTTTCTTTTTTTTTGTTTCTTTTCATTTCACCCGCATAATTCAATGTTCTTTCATAAAAACGTGATCGAACCTTGGCGAGTAAGCAAGTACATCCATAAAAGTAAGTCAAGACCGTAATCGATTGAATCGACTCGTTCGACTCGTGTATCGTATAATAAAAAAAAGCAGGAAGAAAAGAGAGAGAGAGAGAGAGAGAGAGAGAGAAAGATAGAGAAAGAAATTTCGCAGAAGATTTTGGGTCAGAAAGAAGTCTCGTATTGTGCTCGCGGACTTTTAAATATTGCACATGTTCTCCTTGTCCTCGTTAGATAAACAGGGAAGATAAAAGGAAAGATAATAATACGAGATGGAAGAAAGAAGAAAAATAAAAACAAAAAAATTAGTAGAAACACTTACGCAGTTTGAAGTCTGCATCTCTTCAAGACATCACCGTTTCTTACGGTCCCTTTTTTAAGATGATTTTGTTGGTAAGCCATTTGGGGTTGTCCACCATATCCCTGCACCATAGTACCATAACTTTGTGGTTGAGAGTAGGTGGTATGCGGATAGCCTGTATGCACATTGGGCGATGAGTATGCACCATGTGCGTAATTTTGACCCTGCATGTAAGATTGTCCAGTGACGTAGGATGTTGAGAGACTGGTCTGACTTCCAGACGAATAAACACCATGTACATTTCCACTGTGTAATTGATTAACATTCGAACTATGCGATGGGCGTTCCATCTTTTGTGGAAAACTGTAACAGAAAATAACATTATGTTAGATAGAATAGAAATATTTTTGTGTGTGTATGCTGATAATTTAGACTTTTTTATTTTTAGTGTATGTTACTTTAATTTACTATATAAATATCAAAGAATATGATGTGAAAAATATATAGTATTATATATAACTTATAATATTACTATAATATATCATTTATTCCTAAAATATATAATAATAGTATAAATAGAATACATTATAGCATAATATTGTAATATTATATTTAAAAAAATTTGTTTTCTATGTATTATTAATAAATAATAATAATAATAATAATAATGAAAATGAAAAATACATGCAACTCATTTTAATTGGTCTCTTATAACTTAAACCCACATATGAAATACCGATCAACCAACGTTCTTTACCCGCATTCAATCGTTTGCAAGTAATAAATAGAAGACTATAAATACGCATCTAAATATATTTAAATAAGAAGATGATTTGTAAGATCCACTTTAAATTCATGTTATTAAGAAGAAAATATGTGCATGTACATGTATGTTCCAGACAGGGCGTGGGAATGGAGTAATCAAACTCAAGGTTAACGTCATTATACCTATTTCCCGTTTTTTATCATCTCATTTAAACAACGATAGTTACGTGCCTCTCTTTTTTAATATCCGCTTCGCGTGATTACTAAATGCAATTTTCTCGGGGCTTTCGTTCATCATTGCAAGAGAGAAAGACAGAGAAAAATAGAGAAAGGGGGAAGTACCCTATTGTTTCGACACATGATGGTCATCGATCGATTTCAAATGAAAAAGTGTCCTTGGTAGATAAAGTTTCAAGCGTTTGAGCATATATGCACACATGCTAATATCATAAGTTTTCTTTTTTAATATACAATATATAATGTTTTTTTTCTTTTTTGATATGACGTAAAATATTGAATCATTTTATTTATACTAAAAGATTAGATAAGTGTGTCGGCGATTATGAAAGTCGTATAAGTCATTTTAGATATTGAAAGGCATACAGGTATATTATATTTTGTTCTCTACGTTATGAATAAAATTACAAAAATTGTATTAGAAAAAAGAATTATTTTTCGAGAATAAATATATTTACTTTTCTTTTTGTGCTTGTTAGATTAAAACAAAAATAATTTTAATAATAATTTTTTATTAAATATTATTAATCAAATATTAATATCAAAATATAAAATATACAAGCAAAATTGTTACGCTAATAAAATAATTTTATTTAAAGTTTAAAGTAATTTTACCCAATATTAAAAAAGCTTGCAAATGAGAAATAAAGTCAAGTATTATATATTGTAATAAATATATATATTGAAAATAACAAACAAATATCCTACCATCCCATGAATAAATTCAAATTTGTTGATTAACATATTAAATATTAAATATAATACGTTTCGATGTGGTCTATATGAATTATTAAGTTTTTAATTTTGAGTACAAAACAAAGCTTGCTTATCATCGACCTAGACCAATTTCATAATCACCGGATTCAACCATACTCCTTTCTCTCTCTCTCTCTCTCTCTATGTATTTTCCATAATCGATATTATACAGTTTTCATAATCGTAAAGTGAGAGAAGAAGGAGCTGCGACTAGCCGCCAGGTGCGCGAAATTATTCACAGGGTGTCTGATATATTTAGTAATAGAAGGGACCAAATCAAGCGTGAATTTCAAGCGAAATTTTACGAAAGAGGGCAGAACTTTTCTATCAAGAAATATAAAAGAGAAAGATAGAGAAATTGCCAAAAAAGAACAAAAATGATGTTTAACCTATTTACTCGACTTTAACGATGTCAGGTTGTATAATTAGAAGAAAGAAGATAATGAAACGTTAGTAATAACTACTGAACGATTTTCCCACCTAGTAATTCTATCCTTTAAACATTTTATACAATCACTATTCTCACTGAGCTAAGTAATTAACCTTTTCTCTTCGTATTAACTTAAATTTGTAACGTTTATCTAGTCAAACGTTTGTACTTGTGTGTATGTATGTGTAAATTTATTGTCAAAAGTAATACCATTTAAGAGAATATATTATTGTCATTTTTTAATTTTCTTGTGGGTTCTTGATATTTATAATTTTATTTTACTTTTTGCAAAAAGAATTTTTTTGTAGCAGGATTTAGATACATTATTTTCTATTTGGATATTTTAATATTTTAAAATAACATGTTTTTATTAAAGTTTGTTCCAGCCAGCAACAATAAACTAATTTTATACAGGGTATTCTTTTACTGTTGGTTCAAGCTAGCAGGGGACGATTCTACATGACAAATTAAGTCATGTAGAATCATAATGTGGAATAAAATTTGTCTCTATAAAGTAGTTATAAGACATCTTGTATATTAAATTAAAACCAATAAGTAGAATTGCTAATATTTTACCAATAGAGTATCTTTTTAATGCAATATTTTTCTAGTAAAGTTTCTTTTAAATTTAATATTTTTCTAGTAGAGTTTATCTTAGTATACTTTTAATTATGTAATATTGTATTATATAAATATTAATTAATCTTATATTGCCTAGATATTTAAATAATTATTAATATTTATAAGATACAATAATCGTGCATATTATTTATTAGTAAGTAAATATTAATAATTATTTAAAATATATAATGTAATAAAATAAATTTATATAAAAATATGTAAAAATATGTTCATACAGAAATTATAATATAAATACATTTTTTTTTAATTTTAAATATAAAAATATTAAATAAAAAAATTATATATAATATATAGTATCAACTTATTATTTTATACTTAAAGAGTAATGTTTGAGGAAAGTAGTCTGCAGTACGAAACGAAATCGTCGTTAGTTCGAATTAAAAATGCACCCTTCGTTTTCTTTACTCTAAGAAAAGTATAATAATGAGAACGTTTTTTTCTCCTTACTACGCCATTTTTAGTTTGAAAAACGTACCCCAACAATAAGGACGAGTTACAAAGGCAAGTAAAATCCTGGTTGGTTTTATGGGTCTCCTTTAAAAAAAGACCACTCTTCGTTCTTCTAGTATAATGTATCATCATTGTCATCATGTCGTTGCAATAATTTCCATTCATTGTTGAGAAACGTTGACAATGATCAAATTGATTCATATTGTTCGAATAATTTTCGTCTAATCTTGTCATTTTTCTCGAATCACCATTTTCGATCGAATTCGTTCGAATTTCACGTAAACGCAATCTTATCATAGCTCGTTTTTCACGCATTATTATTTGGCAATTATTAAATTTTAATTTATTTTATTCGATTTATCGTGTCACGTATGTTCAATACTTTTTTTATGCAAACGTATATACTAATGTTACGAATCTGACGAATTGCAGATGTATTTTTTTAATAAAACATTATAGATTTTCTTTTATTATATATACGTATGAAAAAATCAATATATATTATTATTGAATTCAATTTAGTTTCTCTCATCCAAGAAACGAATCAATAACCAGTATTTTCGGTACTTGATATATTTTTTTCATAAAAAAGAAAAAAATAACAAGCAAATACGCAAGTATAAACAACAAAATAAATTTCCACTATTTAACGAAGATAGTAACTATAATATGAAAAAAGAAAAAAAGAAAATTAATAAAAAAAAATAATTCGCAAAGATTACAAGCAGAAATTTCAATGATAAAAATCTTTTAACATTTGACGATAATATCAAAACACTCATCAACTATTATGATCACGTAAAACAATTCACACAAACCAATGCAAAGATATTTTAAAAGAAAAAAAGATTTAGGAGGAAAGAAAAAACAAAACAAAAGAAAAACATCAACTAAAGTTAACTTTTGAAAATCAACACAAATTTTCCTTCCAATGTAAAATCCCAATGTAAAAAATAAATGAAAAAAAAACGTTAAAAATTCACACGAGAAAATAATGGTATTTAGACTCCTCACAGATAAAATATTTTTCAAAAAGTGATACTTGAAGCGTCTTGCGAGTTCGAGAGCAAGAGATCGACTGAATTGAAGCTAAAGGAAAGAGCTGCTGCTGTTTCGTTGTTCTTGAAGGAGAACGACAGCTGTCACATGGAAGGAAGGAAAGAAGGATATCTACCTTCCTTTCCACGAGAAAGAACGTTAGAAAGAGAGATTCAACAAAAGTTGAAGGAAGACGAAGGATCAAATGAAGAAAGATAAAAGACAGACTTCAAGGTAAGGGTGGGGGTAAGGGCCACGCGTTCGATTCTTCTCTTTTTTGGTTTATTTAAAATTGTGCGATGCATTATCTTTTTCTCGCACCCAAAATTTTATTCCCTTTTTCTGGTAAAAAGAAAAAAAACTGTTCGTTTCAATTTACGTACTATCTGTTCCCTCCCCCTTGTTCTTTATCTTTTACTTAGCCAGCAGGTATATAGGAAGATACCAAAAGGATATAAGCATGTGTGTACGACGACCATGACACTCGAACCTTACATGAGTCTCTTTAAGAGATCGTAGTCGGTTTTATGTAATCGACTTCGTCGTCATCATCGTCGTCGTTGTCGTTGTCGTCCTCGATTAAATAAACTTATGTAAGATATAATTCTATGAAAGATCTTTATATATTTCATAGTTTCTTAGAATCATATTTCGCAAAAATTGTATAAAAATATTTCTTTTTTTTTTTCGATAAGATAATTTAATAGGTGAACGCTAAAAGTTTTTAGGTAGAGCTACAAGTTTGTTACTTATTTTACGAAATTAATTATTCTTTTTTGAAGACTTTTTAAGTTCGTAAGTTTGCTTGTAGTTTAACGAGCTAGTCTTGCAGTTTTATAATTTGAAAAAAAAGAGGTCTCGAGAAAGTGTAATTGATTTGTTAAATCATTTAAACATTTTTGGACTTGTAAAGAAATTTTTGCACGTGCATTTAGTTATTTAAACAATAAAGATAACAGGAAATTGGATTACATTACGTTTTTGAAGATATTACGTCACCGCTACGTTAAAAGAAACTGAAAATAAATAAATTGAGGAAGAAAAA